TTTTTAATTAATTTTTATCATTTTAATAATCTCTCAAAAATTCTTCTTAAAGGAAAAATACAAAAGAATATCATCAAATTTCGTAAAGTTACCTGCTATGGAATTAGAAAAATTATCATACACAAGAACATTCGGATATCCAACCGAAAGACTTACAGGAGGTAAGGCATAGGTACTAATTTCTAGTTTTGTTACCATTTTGCACTTTTAATAGTATCTACTTCATAGATTTAAGAATAAGACAACTACTGTTCGTTAAAAGATTGGCATATATTCAAAACTGCATTTTTTTCTTTTTAATTTTAAATCTGTTCTTATTAGGGCACTTTTCTGTTCCTGTTTTTATAAAGCATGACGCCATTCAACACCTTCGACCAATGACAGAAGATATTTTTTGGGCGTACTGTATTTTTATGTTGAAGAAGAGTACACCACTTTTACCCAGTTTTAACATGTTGGTGTTAAGGGTTTTGGAAGCCGGAATCAATTATGCTTGGGAAACGAAGGTAAATCTATATATTTTACTTAATAGCGGCTTGGAAGTAGTACGTTCGTTAAAAAAGAGTGCGGGACTATTGGTTACACGGCTGACGCGTGTTTGGGTGAGTGGTGTCGAATGAAAGGTAATGTGTCTACATATGCACAAACATTAAAATCATTGGAAAAGTTCATCGTGGGACATCGTACTACATGAATAAAAGTTTAAGGATGTTTTCAGTAAAAAGTGGTTTATTTGATGTTATTTTAGAAAATTCCTTAAAATAATTTCAGGTGGTACTCTTTCATACGAATAGTCGCACTCAACAAATCATTAGGTATCATTATTATCATGGCGAAGACACAGAGACCGTTAGTCTTCAGTGGATGCATGTTCAAGGAGCTTTCGGTATTTTAGCGTTTGGATATGCGATAGCATTCTTATGTTTCCTAATAGAACAAGTCGTACATAAGTATAAAACACCTACGTAAATACATTAAAATGTCGTTAGCAATATGTTGTTAAGGTTTTCAATCACTAAAACAATAGATTACACAAGAACAGTAGGTATACACAAAAGAAAGCAGTATCTACCCCTAAATGTAGTTACTCACAATGAAAAATAATTTTCTATTATGTTGTAAGGATTTGTTTACTGAAAATAAACTTGTAGATATATCAAGAATCAAATTTAATATTTTATTTGCCCTTTTAATCTTGAATTTCATTTTATAGCAATTTCCAAGTTTAATTTTTGCAAAAATTTTTATGGTTCTTAACTTTCATTTGTGACAAACAAATTTGTTTATTCTTTTGAAGAATCCAAGCTGATATTAATTTTTTAATTTAATGATCGAAAATGTATAACAATAAAAAAGCCAAATCAATTTTGAAAACAATTTTTTCTCTTTCCTTTCGATAGACTTCAGAAGAAATATGTATACTAATGTCAAATATAATTTGTTTGCTCTTTCGTTATTATCCTGGAACATCAAATGAAATATTCAAAAATTCCTTGTGTTATTAGAGTATTTATTCACTTTGACGAAGGTTGCAGGGCGAATATCGACACGAAAGCACGATTTTCGTTTTGTTACGAATCTACGATCCCTATTGTTAGTAAATTAAAATTAAGGGTGTCGACTGGGATACTATAAATCACTTACAGACATTTAGCAACCTCCTTAATGTATGCGGCATTGTTTCTGTTCAACTGGTAACACTTTTGAAACAAATGAAGAGCATCTTGAATAAGTCCTTCTTCCCGTAAAATAATCCCCTTTAGTAATTAAAATAATTAACAATGAATTAGATACATTACGTGTATAAAACATATATAACTAACTCACCTGTTTGTATAATGAATATTCATGTTCTATGTCAGATGTTTCAATATACCTTTTAATAAAATTTTTACACGCAAATGTTTCGCCCCTTACATGCTGCAAATGAATCAACCAATTATACCTGTCCAAAGAGGGTGGATCTGTAGTTTTTAATTTTGTATCTAAAGTCGATGTCATTTGTTTTTATTTAACAAAATTAAATTCACTCTGCCTATCCACAAACAATTTGTATGTTTGTATCTAATCGTATGAAAGTCATGGTAACATTACCAATTTAACTATTGATTTAGATAACAAAAGTCATAGAGGCACTTTCCACGTGACCAATAAAAATGCAAGCATATTTAGAGTAGAATAGGTCCCTTTTTTAATTAAAATTTAGTCAAAAACAATTTCGATCAAGGGCGATCCTGGTTGTTTATTATTTAATATATTCTAAACTTTTCAAATTCTGAGTTCCTGTTTAAACAAAATTGTAATTTTTTATTACATTTTAAAACTAATCCTAGTCTTTTAAAACAAACATCTGAAAGTAAAAAGTCAACTGTATAATAAACATAATATATATTTACAGCAGTATTCACTGATATTGTACAAAATAATATATAAAAACCCCTTCTACTATTATATCAGCTTGCAAAATATTATTGTTTATAAATACATACATTTTCGTGACATAAATGTCCCCTTTCGTCATTACGTAATTCATGTAACTCTTATTTTACATGAGTATTATGAAATTGCAGACTAAAAAAATAATTTGTACTTAGAGCGACATAAATTGTAGCTTACACGTCGAACCACAGTAAAATGAAACGATTAAAGCACAAGGCTGATTAAAAAAAAAAACATACATTAGAAAATACAGAAATGTTTTTGTCTATGAAACGCTTCCCTCCGAAAGGGCAGCTATTACGTGAACTTGCTGACCCTTGCAACTATTGTAAACTTGACCAGGACTGAAGGGTTCCAGCCGAGGATGACTTTCACCTTTCTTTGTTTTATCTGCAAAAAATAAAACGATTTCCATTATGCATTTTCATTAATTTATTGATGGTGAGTTAGCATTGAGATTAAAGATCTTGCAGTTAAGTAGATTAGAAATTATAATTATTTTTAAATTAAAAGTTTGTTCAGTAGAAAAGAAGCTTAATATCATTCGCATTCTGTTTTTATATGAAAACAAGTAAAAAAACGTAAGATACACAACAAAATTAATTTTAGAAAATGTGTTGTTTTCTAATTATAAATTTTTTCGTTAAAGATTAGGAGCTCTTAAATTTCGTCCTACGTCATTCATAATACAAAAAGTGTACAATATTTTGTTTCAATTTGATGGGATTAAATTTCACTTTTCATTTTTAATTAGCAAGATAACGCTGACTGTGAAGGTCTTTGTCTTTTCAATTGTAAAGTTTGAAATATTGTAAAGCATTTTTTCTTTAGTTACGCTTAATTAAATCTGGCGTAGGTATCAATAAAATTGTTTACTTACCACTTTCTGTCGTAATATACTTCGAAAGTCGTATTAGTGGAAGAGGCAGGTACCCAGTATTGAGAGGCATAACATCTAAAACTACAACTTGGGGTTCTGCCCCTGTTTCGAACGAAATCACACCAGCAGTACGACCACATACAGCCCAGATACTTTGTTCTGCTAGAACTTCATACATCACACTGCTTTCAATACTAGACAAATCCAAAATGTGACCAGCCGGTTTTATTTTTAAATTCAAATGGCACAAGACGCCAACACGGCAAAATTCGTTGCCCTTTGCCGGCTGTATACTTGCTTCTATGACATATAACGTCTGAAATAAAGCAGAAATCATTTTGTAGAAAAGTATAACAGAGAAACTTCCAAAACCATAAAACCAATAATTGTAGCTGTAGTTATTGTCTTGTAGAATTTAGCCAAGTATTTGAAACCCTGATCTTTTTATAAATTTTAATTTTAAATGCTTTATAAACAAAATTAAAAGGCATATTATTGGTANATTTAAAGATTATCGATTTTTGCAACAAAGAAAACGAAGAAAGTTAAGACCATGTAGATGAAGATTATTTGACAATTTGTTGTAGATTGCTAGAAGATGTTAATAGACTTATTCTATTAAATAAACCAGTACCAATTCCTGAAAAGCATGGCTTTAGGCAAGCAATCTTCTAGGATCCTTTAAAAAAGCGGACAGATAAAATGTCTATTCGTATTATTTCCTTCTGGCAGTTATTTAATCACCCACTAGCTTTCAGAGAGCTGTTTTGACTTTAATTTCATTACCGTAAGAAAAAACACAAGAAAAACACTCAGCTAAAATAAAAAAAACTCAAAGTGAAAGTAGGTATACAGAAACGAATATTAAAAGTACTTCTTTTAGTAAAAATTGCATTGTAAACGATTTATAATTTCTTTATTTAAATAACCGTGAATTTCACTCACATGTGGTCTACAAATTGCCAGGAAATAGTAAAGAGTATAATATATAATTAATATAAAAGTTCGAATGGTTAATTCATTGTAAACATTATAAATTCCGATATAAAAGTAATAAACCTTACAAAATTTACTGTTTTATTGCAAAAAGCTTAACAAAAGTTTCGTTATTGTTATTAGTTAGGTAGGTACTCCTTTAAGTAAGAAAAGTTCCTAAGTTATTTTACATTAATATTGAATTTACTAAGTCTTTTTGCTATTTTAGAACTAGATTGTTGTATATGATTAATAGAACAAAAACTTTTCTAATAAATAACAAACGTAAATTAAACAACTATGAAAAAATTCCGTTTGCACAATAAACTGCAATGATTGCAATGCTATCTACTTAGGCCAAACTGGTCGTTCTATAAACACCCGATTAAAAGAACATATAAATAACAAAGAAGAATACATGTAATATGTAATAAAAAAATGCAGATCTGCAAAGATCTGATTGGTTTCCCCATTTTTTCCGGTCTATTAAATCATTGAAAATTTTAGATGTTCTTTACTAATTATTTTGGAACTTACCTGCTGCTTTAGATTTAAATTGATAAATCAACACTTTTTTTAATCTTAATCTGATCTAAATATAGGTTCATTTCTCCAAATCTATCAAATTGTTCCCAGATTTTTTTTTTTTGGTGAATTTGAGAACATATATTTTCGCTCAAATAGAATTTTAATTCGGCCTTTGAGCTTAACAAGTGTTCATTGTAATTTTGGTTAATTTACATTTCCCTTTTATATTTGGAAGAAAAGGCGTAGGCATTAATTTACAAAGTACAGAAATAAAATTTTCTGCGTTCTCTTCTGCCGATATTTAAATTTTTGTCTCTATGTCTCCGTGATGTCCACGTATTTACATTTAATTTTAAATGGAATTGATATCGAGTTACCTTGTTAAATGTCTGCAATTTGAATAACTAAGTTAGTCTTAAACAAAGGACATTAAGTACTAAAACTGTTTAACGTAAGTAACTTTCGTGCACTCGCGTAAGTAAGTAAACCAAACAACAATTTCGTCTTCAAATAAATTAAAACGGTTCTCATTACTTCTGTACAATTTTATTTATTACTGTAAGTTGTTTGAGACTAATGTTCTTTTATTGTATGTTCGATTCAGTTTGTGTAATAAAATAGTTATGAGACAACGGGGTTTTGTATTGTAGTACATTTATTAATTAAAGCAAATACGACACGTAATAGGTACCACCATGGAAGTTAATCCTGGATTAAATCTTTTAGTCAGTACAGTGATAAATACATACTTTGCACATTTATATTGTCTTTTCATATTCAACGATAACGTTAGTACATTCGCATACAAAGGATCGATATTACCCAGCGTTAATTACAAAATTGATGATACAACCAACAAAACTGATTTCAAAATAAGTGATAACAGATGTGAAGGGATTATAGTTTCAACCTCAAACCCTAAATGGGTATTTCGAAAAATCGAGTACAAAATCAAAATGTCTAATGTACACCGATATAATAGAAGAATGTACCTTATTTTATTGACTCAAATTGAATCAGAAGAATTTGTCAACGATTTGTTCAATACAACAGAACTATTCTACGTGAATAATTTTCTGGTTATACGCGCGGCAAACATAAAGGCTGAGAAATGCGATAATTTTACAATGAAATGTAAAGAAAATGTCGAATACGAACTATTAACAAACAAATACGTAGGAAATAAAAATAATATGAACACAATCTTGTTGGATAAATGGTTTAGCAATAACAACAGCTATTTATTTAACAGTGATTTATATCCTGATAAACTGGTAAACCAGGAAGGACGACCTTTTCGATTGGCCAGCTTACATTATCCTCCATTTCATATTGTGGGTAAATAATTACGATTTTGTAGCGATTGATTTTATAACCAATATAAGTAAAACAAAAATACTGGTATGCAAGGGAAGAAAAAGTAGGGGAAAAGCGAATATAAGGATAGGAGACGAAAAATTAGAAGAAGTGGCTGATTTTAGGTATCTGGGAAGTTAGATAAGTCAGATTGGCAGGAGTAGTAAGGATATAAAGCAGAGGATAGCGCAGGGTCGGTCGCCTTTAATAAAAAGAAGTCACTTCTATGCTCGCGAACGGTTAATTTAGAAATTCGAAAAAGGTTGTTAAAGGTGTATGTTTAGAGCACGGCGCTGAACGGGTGCGAAACATGGACAGTGGGCGCGGCGGAAAAGAAAAGGTTAAAAGAGTTCGAAATGTGGTTTTACGGACGAATGATGAGGATACCGTGGATAGAGAAGGTTAGAAATGAAGAGGTATTAGAAAAAATAGGAGAACAGAGGGCTCTATGGAAGTCAATAAGAAATAGGAGAGATGAGTAAGTAGGACTCTTACTTCTCAGGCACGAAGGTTTAGTCAGAAACATATTAGAGGCAGAAACGGAAGTTAGGAGGGGTAGAGGTAGACCTAGATTAGATTACTGTTCGCAGATAGTTAAGGATATGGGTTGTTCTAGAGAAATGCCAAGATTAGCTCAGGATAGGAAAGAGTGGAGGTACGTGTCCAACCAGTCTTAGAACTGACGACCTTATGATGATGATGATGATGATGTACAATACGATAGTATATGACCATTCGACCATCAATTAATTAGAATAATCGAATTTTAAATTTAATCATTGTTCAGCCCTACGAATACCGCCACGTTGTGGTCTTGAACTAAATAAAACACCAAAACATTCAAAAACACTAAAACACGTTTCAGCACCGAATATCATCCTCAGAGACTGTTTGGCTTTTGGTGTTTTATTACTCTATTTTTGAAAAATTAAAAGTAACTTGTTTACTTTAGAGGACCCCGCTAACGAATCTGTTGGAGCGGAAACAAATTTCGCTAAAGAATACGCTAAAAGGCATAATATGAGCGTGGAATATGTCATCGACGAAGTGGGACAATGGGGAAACATTTATGACAACTGGACAGGGGATGGTTTAGTTGGAAATACTGCAATGGATAACGCCGATATCGGCTTCGGTAAGAACGAGTTTTATTTCTTTACAAATTTTTAAAGCAATATAGCAAGCGTTTGCATACGTATAAATTAAAAGGTGAATGCTATTTATTAATTAAATGTTAAACTATTGTATATTCGGTAATGCGTTTAATCAACAAAAAAGTTTTATCTTTTAATTATACCTTAGTACATTTTAGTAAAAGAGTCATCTTCTCCAGATAAATAATCAACTTTATAATAAACTTTTTTTTGTATTTTATCAATAAAAGTTTTGCATTAGTAACTATGTTGAGTTTTGGAATTCAATTACGAAATTAAAATAATGATCATTGAAACGGAGAATGCATATTTGTACTTTTATACTGATAATAAAAGTAGGTACTTAAAATTTTACTACTTATTTTCATTCAGTATACTAGTTCTTCCCCCCTATCAGTCACTGTGAGCTCGAAACTATTAGCACCATTACTTCAAATGGTCAAAATTCACTTTTGTGAACAATTTGTTTAATCACTTTCTTTGTGTTAAAAATTGTTTGAAAAATTAAATTTAAAGGAATCGTTTGTAAATAGATATGCAACACATCGTACACTTCAGCTTAAGAAATTGCTGATACTAACTTTCATTTAACATGATCAGTATTTTTATACTTTTTTCAGGTGCGGTCTACCTGGAATGGTTTCCATTGTATTCGTTTTTGGATTTTTCACATCCTTGCATTCGTTCAGGAGTTACTCTCTTGGTTCCAGAACCAATGTAACTGACCGTATTGATAAATTAGAACAGATTTAGAGACACTGGCACATCAATCTACTTAAGTCCCTTTTATTTTTATTAGAACAATAGTTGGCTGTTTTCTTTTAGGGGTAGCTTGTTTTCTTGCATGTACCACAGGGTTGTAGATTTTAGCAATCATGTTCACTAATAAAAAAAAATCACAAAAGCTCTGTATTTGTATGAAGTAGTAGATATTTTTACAACATTGAATAAAAACACTTTTAAACAAAACGCTTTAAGTTATGTGAAGCTGAATGATTACGGTTTTAAATTTATCGTTATATCGGGGTAATTAGTTAGTGTTTATACTGGACCAACCCAAGGGCCAGAACCCCCATTGCAAGGTTCTAGACCTAGACCTACCCAGGGTCATTTGTGGCTACGTCCTTGACTAGAAAGTCCTTTAGTGTTTAGTACTTTAAGACAATGAACTTTTTGAAGTGCACATTGCACTTGTTTTGAATATAGAGTGTTTTTAGCTATATATTTTACGATTTTGATTTTTTACCCAGTTTAGCCGGAGGTTGGACAGTTCCTTTATTTTCATTTTCAACTGAAATGTGGATTGCGACATCTATATCCTTCGTATGTACCATCGTGGCATTATTTGTGGTTACTTTGTACACTCGAAAATATTTTCGATTAGAAGGGTAAGTTAAAAGTT